TTTATTGATTTATTTTTCATTATGCTGTATGCATAACACAATTTAAGTAAAATATCACTATTATAGTAATGGGAATTGGGCTAAATACGATTAATTTTAATTAAAACCTGTGCACAGGGATTTTTAATCAGCATATATATAAGTAAGTAAATTAATTACATTTTTACTTTGTTATATAATAAATAAATAATATTCAAATAATACCAATATTCATATAATATTTATTTATTTAATTTATTTATTTATTATAGTTATATAATTATTTTATTGTTATACCAAACAGAAACTTTTTTTTTAAGTTTTATTTTATTTATAATCAATATTAATTTTACCGTGTTCACTCTCTTGGGTGAATTACATGCTATAATTACTTTTATTACTACATGTTTTTGTAATTACTGTAATTGGTGTTGTTTGAGTTATTTGAAAATGTATCATGCTTTCAAAATTGTGAATTTGCTAAGACTGTAACAGTAAATGTCAAAAAACAATCAATATTTATAGTCTTAACGGGATGAAATATGAGCTGATTATTTCTCATTTTCATGAGATGACATGATGTTTGGTCATTTGCAGACATTCTTCTCGTCTCATTCTTCTCTCTGCAGTAATGGACGTCACAGACATCATCACGGGCAAGATGGACGATGAGGACAAGCAACACTTCATTCCCTTCCAGCCGTGAGTATGACTTCATGACATCAACACGACAGCTTTTATGATGGAACAGTTTTGACCATCAGTCAAGTATATTGTGTAGTCATGCATATAAATGCTAATTTGCGTGTAAGTTTGTTAGTGTTTGTCTGTTTTTCTGATTTCTATTGTATCATCTCAATACTCTGTGTATTTAATTGAAGACAACAGTACACAAACTCCCTGTTATTCTGTAGAGGAGTCATACGTGCCTCACAGTCACTCCGTCATTCCTTCTGTCACTCAGTAAGACTCTACTTCGGTCTTTCTCTGCTTTGCCGCTCTCACAGCCCAGCCGGGTCACTCAGAGAGGAGTCCCATTGGTTTGCTGGGTATTGTGGGGGTGTTTAAGATGCATGTTGTCACTTTAGGGAGGTTTTTGCTTTGTAGCAGCTTATTTGTGACCTCAGATTACTGTAGCTCTGGTCCAAAACCTAGTGGACTGTCTTGCTGCCTACATAGCCAGCTACCTTTTAAGGCAGCATCCTAACTGAAACAGAAACTTGTGACTGATTTAAATGCTTCTCATAGGCAGCAACAAATAGCAAGTCCATAATAATAATAATAATAA